GTGTTTCCTCAAGGGGTTTCCTCAGGGGGTGTCAGGCCAGCAGGTCCCGGAGTGGCCTCCAGCGTGGCAACCACTCGTCCAGCGGCGCCATCAGGGGCTCCTGAGTGTGGACAGTGGTGGCTAAGCTGGCAAAGCATAGCAAGGCCAAGGCAAGGTCTCGCGATGAAACACAAGGATCAAAGGAGTGGTGGCAGTGCCCGCGAGGAGACTCTAGGTGGCCCAGCCTTTGATCGAAGGCCCAAGGCACGGATCATACTAGCAGCCGGGGTCAGACGAGCGCAGCTCCAGCCTACGATCCCAGGCAGAGCGCGTGCGCGACACCGCCCGTCCCGGCGCATCCTCGTGACGCCATCAAGCGCGCGCCGTCCCGTCCTTCGCCCTGAATTGTCTGGGCCCTCGAAGAAAGCGGTGAGCTCCGCCTGCTCCTTCTGTCCCCATGGCCAGAAAAACCCGAATCTTCCTTCAGAGGTGGGGCCGCCTACGCTCCCCGACCCCATCTTCAGGCCGATCGGCCCTCAGGCCCAGCTCTCCTTATCCGAGGCGACTGTGCTCCGGGCTCTGGCAGGCACAGCTCTCCCACTATGCCCTGGTCCGTCCCGTACGATTCGCTCCCGGGTTACGATCGCGAGCATTTTATCAACTCCCCACCCCCTTGACTTCAGCTATGGGAGTTCAGGGAGCTTCCCAGGCCTAGAGGAGAAGATGATTCGGAGGTCAGGGAAGGGCCCTAGTGGGCGACCGGCCTGTGCGGGCCATCTCGAGCCTTAGCTCAGGTTGGCAGAGAACCTGGGCCAGCGATCCCAGCTGGGTCCACTCGGGAAAACCGGACTTCCCATCCCCCAGATCAGGAGTGTTAGGAGGCAGCGAGGCTCAGCGAGCTAGTGAGCCTGTGCCACTAGGCATTTGAGCAGAACTTCGGAGCCCCCTGAGGTCATTTCAGGAGATGCCACCCTTGCCACCAACGGAGTGGGGCCTCTCAGGTAATGCCTTCTGGTCAAATCCGGCCAACAGAAGACGAAATGCATAGTAGATAGGCGTGGCCAGTTCCTCAGAGGAGACCGTTGTATAATAAGGGCCACATTGTGCAGAGTCCAGGGGTCAGGGCTTACCACACAGCTGAAGGGAGACTGCTTTCAGGGATATTTGCCCCAGGACTTCATTTGTATTTGTGAGTGTGTGTGTGTGTGTGTGTGTGCGCGCGCGCGTGTGTGCCGGTACTGGGGCTTGAATTTAGGGCCTGAGTGCTGACCTTTAGCCTTTTCTGCTCAAGGCTGGTGCTCTACCACTTGAGCCACAATCCCACTTCCAGTTTTTTGGTAGTTTATTGGAAATTAAGTCTCACAGACTTTCCTGCCCCAGTGGCTTCAAACCAAGATCCTCAGATCTCAGCTTCCTGAGTAGCTAGGATTATAGGTAGGCATCAGCCACTGATGTCTGGCTAATATATGCTCCTGTGGTTCTCCTTCATCCTTTCAAGCCAGTCCTCTCTTAATGCCTGAATCTCCATCCCTTGTCCCAGGTGTGTCCAATCCTTAGTTTTAGATTTTTAGAGCCTCAGACCCCTAATTCTATGCCTTTTACCTAAGATTCCAAGATTCCGTTCCAGTGACTCTAAAACACAGGAAAAACTTTAAAGTCAGGAAAGTACTGTTCAACCAAAACTGGGCTTGTTATGAGTGCTGAGATGGCTAGAGCTGGAAAAACAGAATTCTCTTAATGTGGGGGTGGGGTGGTTTAAGAAGCATACTTAGCATGTGTAAAGGCCTTAGTTGGTCCTCAGCACTGCAAAAACCAAACAACAAAAAGAAACTCATTTGCCAAGACTGGCTGGCTTTTATAAGTACTAAGCTCTGTCATTTATTACCTCCACAAGGGACATGTGGTAAAAACCAGAGCTGCCTTGTGCAGCTCTAAGAGAAGCTTCAAGGAATTTGGTATAGCAGAGATGGACAGCTGTATGGGGACCCCAGTTTGGAAGGGGCAGGATACCCATCTTCAGCTTGGCAGCACTGAATGCAGGGCTGGATGTTAAACAAGCTCTGGCCCAAGTGTGGTTTCCACCTTCTGACCCTTGCCCTAGTCTCTGAGGCCATTGTCCCTTCTGGGCACAGTGCTTGAGGATAACAGGCTCTTGTCTGTGTAGGTATTGGAAGCTTAAGCTGAGTAGAGGCAGGCTGCGACTTCCAGCAGGTCTTCGGATGTGGCTATGGCAGGACATACTGATACTGATCTGTAGTCTAAACACACACCTCTGATGTGAAAACCCAGCAACCTCCTGGGGTTCTTTCCAGTATTGTCTTTGCCTCTAGTTTAGTGGGGGAGGAGGGGGAGCTAGAGCTCCAAGCCGGATATGGAGCCTCTTCTGCCTCCACATTTGCTGACTGCCTGTATCTTTCATCTCCTTGGTCCCCATTGCTTTTAAGGACAGGCATTGGTCCCAGCCAATGGCCTTGGAACTGGTTGGGCTCTTACCATCAGCCTTTTCTCTGCAGCCTGATTAAATGCAGTTGCTTCTTCCAAACTCCTACCGGCATCGCCAGGGCTTTCTCTCTTCCCTCCAGCCCAGAGGTACACCCGTCTTTCCTGATGTTAACATCCTCCCCTTAGAATTGAGACACCCCCTTCAGATGACCGATGATACAGCCTATGCTGTGGGTTCCGCCATGGCAAATGGCTCCTCTGCAGTCCATCCTGAGGAATCAGGCTCAGCCCAATCAGCATCTCTGTCTGGACTACTTGATGTCCACCCTGAGCTTCAGACACAGCAAAGGGATCCTGTTGGTGATAGGATCCCTACTTCTCCTGAGTATGGGAACCAGGTTACTTCTGGAGATAGTCTGAACAAAAAATCAAGCCTAGTTTGGCTAGCCTTTGAGAGGGAACGTAGAGGGGGTCCCGGGGAAACAGTCCATGTTGCACTCTTCAGGGCACAATCCAAAAGGTTGTAGAGATAAAGTAAGTTTAGGGAGGATGTAGACACATTATTCTGTACCCTGACCTCAGCCCTGTGTAGCCTTGTTCCCTTCCTATGGGGATGGGATGGGAACAAACATTTCCTTTCCTACGTAGGTGTGCAAGAAAGGTATGTGGAGGTATGTGGGGGTGTGGGATCCCCTCTGGGCAGCTACTGCACTGCAAACAAAAAAAAATCTATAGCTGCAAGAGACAGCTATCCTTTGATAGCTTGTCCTGGACTAAGTAAGCATTGAGCCAAGTACCTCATTAACTGAGACAAATTCTCTTGTAACCCCATTTCTCAGATTAAGGAGGTTAAGCTAGGTGCTGGTGGCTCAGCCCTGTAATCCTGGCTACTTAGGAAGCTGAGATCTGAGGATCAAGGCTGGAATCCAGCCCTGGCAGGAAAGTCCGTGAGACTCCATTAATCCCCAATTAACCACCAAAAAAAAGCTGAAAGTGGAGTTGTGGCTCAGGTGACAGAACCTTGGCCTTGAGCCAAAGAGCCAAAAAGCTCAGGGACTGCAAGTTCAAGCCCCCAAACTGGCACCCCCACACACACAAAAAGTTTGTGGTTAAATGACTTCTGCAAAGTCACACAGCAAATTGGGCATCAGTCTGAGCCCCTCTACTTCCATCCCCTCTACTTCCTGGGTGCTGTAGCTTAGGGACAAGCCCCAGGGGAGCCCAGTGCTAAACAGTGTGAATCCATCCCCACAGCCAAGCTTGAGGTCTAGTGTGGCCTGGGCCTCAGGGACAGGGAACCTCTTTGTGTAGGGTTCCAGCATTTGTGTGGGGGAGGGGGAAGGGAAGAAGTGAGGGAGGGAGGAGGTGAAGACAGCCTCTGAGATGGGCAGGTTTGTTACAGGGGACCTCTCTGCAGCAACAGATTGGGAAGTTTGCATGTACTGAGAACACATACTCTAAGTACCACACAGTTCAGGCTGTGTGGTTACCTGTGCTTACTGTGCCCAAGCCCACACCTGACCCTCAGAGCTGCCCCCAGGACCCTTTGCACTCTGCATCTTGCCTTGCACCTGACTTATCTCCTGCTGCATGCCAGCCCTGCACTTCAGGGACACAGGGCTGCCCATGTGAGGCCTCAGGTGCCCCTTATTCTCCCCCATTGCTCCTGCAGTGGGACTTGCCTACCTGGAGGCTCCTACTGACCAGAGGCAATCCTAGGTCCCAGCTCATCTTTGCTTGCCTTTTCCCCAAAAAGGTACTTGAACAGCAAGGTTTTCTGCCACTTACACAGCCCACAACACAGGCTGGTCGCATCCTGTCTGAGGGAGTCCTCTGCTTAGCTTTTGGCTGTGAAACGGGCCAAGGTAGGAGGAGTGGGAGTGGGAGTATCCAGGTTCAGAGCTCTGCAGCTTTTTAGGATTGGTTCCCATCTGGGCCTGGCCATGGAAGAGGGACACACTCCAGTGGGGCAGGGAGAGGTCCAGGAGAATAGGGGGTGAGGCACCCAGAAGCCCCTAGCTAGGCTGCCTGACATTTTGAGAGAAAGAATGGAAAAGGCACCCTCCCCCTTATCCACAGGACAATGTGGGTGTCTTTACCTCAACAGTGAGAGCTTCAAGCACCTCACTATGCCTCTCCCTGCATAAAGCCCATTTCACTGATGGAGGGAGGTGAAGTGGGCCATGCCACAGGCTGAGGGACAGAGAAGCTTTGTACCTGACTTTCCTGGGCTCCTCCCCAGGTGAAGGGCTGAAGATTCTGACAGTACTCTCCCAGGCCCAGCCCCTTTGTGCTGTCCCTCTGCTGTCTATCGGAAGGCCTGGGAGACATCCCTTCGGCTGACCATAGGACCTTTCCACAGGAAGATTGGAAGCAGCCCCAAGTCCTTGGGTATCTAATTTACCCTCTTGGGGAACTCAGTAGTGTGGCTGTGGTTGCATTGTTCAGGGTAGACACTAGGCTTGTCTACTATCTTGTCTTATTTCAAGTTTCCTCAGGGAACCCTCCTGGGGAGGCTTGGCCATCACTGCTCCCCACAAACATGGGATCAAAAAGGGATGGACACAGGGGCAGGAGACTACAACAGGATCCAGTTTATTCTGCCTTGGCAGGGTGGTCCTGAGAGTGGCAGATGCCACCCTGTCCCGGGCGGAGGGAGGGCCCGAGGGCCAATTAAGGCCAATGGCGGGAGAAGCAGAGGGCATATAGCCCCTGGAATGCGGCGAGGCCAGGCTGAAGCCCGGAGGCAGCTGTGGTAGGCCAGAGCAAGGTGCTCCTGCCACCCAGGGTGGAAGGCACCGGACTGTGACCGGAATATGGCTACAAGGCCGAGGACCTAGGCCACACGGGCACCCTGGGTAGTGGGGCACAGGGTCATGTGACACAGAACACGGAACACAAGCACATGGCTCACGAGTAAGCACATGAATAAGAGGGCACAGATTCACAGGCCAGAGGGGCACTTGCCATAGCTGGACTAGACACATGGACACAAGGGTGGTATTACAAACAGACCACAGGGGAGACACAACACTATGGAACACATCATGGCCACCACAAACAGACCACGCCACGGAGCTCAAGGGACAAGGGGTCCTTTTGGCACAACTGCACTGGAATCATAAGAGACACAGTGGTGGAGCTTGGTCTGGAGCGTCTGGGAGTCCCCCCAGTCTCTGGATTTAGTCTGTCTTCCATATTTTGTTGAGCAGCTTCACCACCTCATCATAGATGACGAACACAATGGCCACATCCAAGCAGACCCGGCCCAGGCGGGGGACAGTGCCCTTATAGAATCTGGGTGGAGGAGGGGGATGAGTGAGCAGAGAAAGGATGGTGTCCCCCCCTCCCCCACAGTATAGCCCCTGCTTTCACTGTATTTGATGTTGGTATAATTTGTGGAGGGGAAGGGGAAAAACAAATCGTTTAAATAGGGATACAGGTGGACCCATTGCAACAGTAAGATGTACAAGTTATGTCAAAAACGAACTTTACAACTTTGGTGGGGGGGGGAGGAGGATGGGAAGGGATGGGAAGGGTAAACAAAGGAGGAGGCTACAATGCTTGATAAGAAATGTACTCATTATCTTGCCCATGTAATTGTAACCCCTCTGTACAGTATTTTCACAATAAAAAAAAAAGAAACCAAAAAAAAAAAAAGGATGGTGTCCCTAAAAAAGCACCCTTCCCCCTAGAAAATGAAAGAGGAACACCAAGGCCTAGAGGAAGATAGCCTAGAGCAGGATAGCTGGAAGGGGGACAACAGTCCTGCCCCTTTCCTACTCACGCCATGAGTCCCTCGTTCCTCAGGATCTGCAAGCTGCAGTCCAGTGTATTCCGGTATTTGTGTGCCTCCAAGCCCTGCAAGAGCCAGAATACTCAGCAACTAGCTTCTGTCCCAAGCCAGTACCCTTCTCCACCTTCCCAGTGCTCTCCTCTGACCTGCATCCGGGTCTTGATCACATCCAGAGGTGTGTTCCCAAACACACTGGCTGCGCCTGCAATAGCTCCAAACACCCCTGTGATCAGTGGGTTCATGGGCTTGTTGGGATTGTCCCCTAAATGTGAAGAGGAATTGTGGTCAGAGAAGACTAGGAGGGAAAAGGAGGGCTAGGCTTTGAGGGTTGAGGAACAGGGCCTGTGAAAGTCCCTCCATCCTCCCAAGGGTGAAGCCCAAAGGGAGAAGCCTGGCTTGCAGTGTTTGGAGGCAGGGTTGGAGGGCACAGACTTACCTCGGTACCAGTTGCGCAGAGAGGTCATGACAAAGAAACGGATGGCTTGGTTGGAGCCCTGCTTTAGCACAGTGGCTGTTAGGCCCTGGTAGGTCCCCTTCAGTCCTGAGGACAGGCAGGCCTGGAGTCACTGTGGTGGCTCCTAGGACCCAGCGGAGGGGGGGGGGGGGGATTGGGGAGAGGGAAGGGAAAGTGCCAGTCCTTTCCAGACTGGTCATGGTCCTTGACCCAGAATGGCTCACCTTGTTCCCGAACAATCTCCCTAACCCCATGGAAGAATCCTCTGTACTTGGGGTTGGGGGAATTCTGATCGTGGATGAACTTCACCTGAGAGAGAGGGAAGTAAAGGAGCTGGCTTCTAAGCTACCACTTGATGGGCATACCTGGCCCTCTGCCTCCAAGGAAGTTTACCCAAGGAGGCCAGCCAGTGCTGGAGGAGGGAGAGGGATGTGTACCTCTCCAGCTCAAGCAGAGCCAACCTTGGCTGTTCTGAAACATCAATCCAGGAGGCCTCAGGACACTAGAGGGCCCACCTGGCTAAGGAGTCGCTTAACGTTTGCTGCACTTTTTCACAGTGTGAGTAACAAATGTGTTTCTTGTTTTTGCCGCCACAGAAGACCCTCCCCGCCCGCTCCCCTGCACATCTAGCCCTGCTCACGCTTTAATCTTACGTTGTACCCCTCTAGAGTTGATCACCGCTTCCACACCCTGCACGTGGGAGGCCCCTCCCCACCTTAATCGTCTCCATGGGGCACACGATCACCACGGCCTCGGCCACACCAGCGCCCAAGCCGCACAGCAGCCCGCGCGTGCTGTCCAGCCGTCCCTTGGAGTCCCGCATTTGGTTACTGAGGAACTCGAACATTCCGAACCTGGGGGTGAGGGGGGTTGGGGTAAGAGGGGCCCGCCCCTGGGACCCCCTCCCGTGCACAGCAGCCCCAGGACCACGCCTGGCCTCACCTGACCGCCGCCTTGGGGATGGAGCCGTAGAGCAGGGAGCTGAGACCTCGGTACAGGCCCAGGACGCCATGGTTGCGGACGGTCTGCCGCACGCAGTCCACTGTGAAGAGGACGGTTAGGACTCGCCGGTCGGTCCCGCCACCCGCTCCCACCCGCCGCTCCGCGGCCGCCCCCGCTGCTCACCGATGCCCCGGTACCGCGGCGGGTTCGAGCGCTCATCCAGCTGCAGCTGCGTCTTCACGTACTCGGTCGGGAATGTGATGCAGATTTCGATGCCGCCCGCCAGGCCTCCTGCGGGGGACGGGACACTCGGGTCGCGAGACGCCCCCAGACGGTGGCCCCAGCCCTCCGCGCTCGGCCCCTCCCCCGCCCGGACTTTGCCCGCGTCGCCGCTTTCCAGAGCCTCGAGGAGGCCGGGCCGGGTCCCCACGCCCCCACCCCGGGGTCTCGGGGGGCAGCGCAGGAGCGACCCGCGGGGCGCAAGCCCACGCGCCGGGTGGGAACCCGGGCCGCGCCCCCTCCGACGCCCCCAACCCCCGCCCTACCCGGAAGTGGGGCGGGGCCTCGGTGTCCCGGGCCCACCCGGAAGCCCGGCGGGGCGAGTGAGACGGGGGTTCGCGTCCCGCCGGGGGCCCACCTGCCAGAATCGCCTTCCCGGGGTGCGTCAGCTTGGCTTTTCCGGACGCCGGCGCAGCGGCCGCCAAAGCGCTGGGGGCGCGGGGCGTAGCCATGGCGGGCAGGAGGCGGGGCGCCCGGCGTCGGCCTCGGGTCCGAGCCTCGGGCGCTGGGTATCGGGAGGCAGCGGTGGCGGCGGCAGCGACGACGGTGACCGGTTATGGTCCCGGGGGCGGGGCTCCCTCGTCAGCTCCTGAGCTCCGCCCCGCGTGGCCTGAGCTGGGCCCCGCCCCCTGCCCGCCCTGCGCCGGCCGGGAAACTGAGGCTGGGGCGGGGCGCTCCTGGGCAGGCGTCGGGGCGGGGACCGGAGCGCAGCCAATGGCTACTGGGGGCTCCGGGGAAAGCTGAGCGCGGCGGGGGCCGGGGGCGTGGTCTGCGGGAGGCAGGGCTGCGCCTTGGCGCGGAGCTGTAGGTCAAGGTGCAGCTTCCATTCTCTTGGAGCTGGGCAGAGACTCCCAGGGAAGAGACGGCCTTGGAGCCCACATCTGCCACGAGGAACGGGATTCCCAGAGATCCTGAAACCTGGAGGCGCAGGACTTTCCCCAAGACCCAGGCGACCAGCCCCATCCCTTGCTGTCTGAAGACACCCCGAGGGACTGTGTAGTTACCACCCTGCACCTGCAAATTGAGAGCCCCGTGCCCCGAATTTGGCGAGGAAAATACTAAAGCACAACCCAGCTGCATTCTCCTGAGCACCTTTTCTAGATAGACGCAGGACCTCCCTTCCTCCAAGAGGCCCCACGAATCCTTAATAGACTGTGACGCCTATCAAATTCGGCCTGTCTTACCCAACCCACATAAACACCAATAAAAACAACAGCTTTGCCTCGATAAACCTATTCATTGTAGAAGCCAGGCACTGGTAATTTACACCAGTAATACTAGCTACTCAAGAGGCTGAGATCTGAGGATTGTGGATCAAGTCAGCTCAGGTAGGAAAGTCCATGAGACCCTTACCTCCAATTAAAAAGCCATTCAAAACCAGGTGCTGGTGACTCACGCCTGTAATCCTAGCTACTTAGGAGACTGAGATCTGAGGATCACTGAAACCAGTATGGGCAGAAAAGTCTGTGAGACTCTTTTATCTCCAATAAACTACTCAGGAAAAAACAGGAAATGCTGCTGTGACTCAAAGTAGTAGAGCACCAGCCTTGAGCACAAAGAGGCTCAGGGACAGCACCCAGGCCCTGAGTTCAAGCCCCACAACCAGCCAAAAAAAAAATAAAAAGCAAAAAAAGATAAAAAGCTGTTCAAGCTCTAGCACTGTGCATGCAAACGTGCACACACGTGCACACATACACACACACACACACACAAATCTGTGACAGGCTGAAGGCAGAATCAAATTGTGAGGTCTGGCGTCTCCACACTAATAGTGTTGCCTCTGCTGAGTAGCTTGGAAGGAAGTGAAGAGAATGCTACTTCCCAGGAGCTCCTGGGAATCCCTACAGACTAGAACCTTCCTAACAATGCCTGGGGGCTGGGAAGGTGGCTCAGTGGTAGAGCACTTGCCTAACAATGCCTGGCTCCAGCCAGAGGCCAAAAGACAGGGTACCCTCTTCTTGCTGGGCAGTCCTTTTTTTCCCCTCCCCACCCCGGCCTCCTCTGGGATGACTCAGAGGCCAACACTGGTTTCAGCAAAAATAAATAATATCCAGATGTCCTGCCTCTTACTCCCAGTCCTCTGTGTTTCCTGAGTGCCACGTTTTGTGGAGAAGTTAAAAACTGGCTAGAGGAGTGGTATGGTTACTGGGTGCTCATTACATACAAAAGAGGCTGGGTGAAGCCAGGAGCCAGACGGATAACCATAAGGAAAGCCAGCAGGGACTGGCCACACAGGGCCTGTTGTCAGTGCCAGCTGCTGGCCTACAGAGGGAGGAACAGTGAGCAGAGCTTCTGCTGCCTGGGTGTTTGTGGGAAGAGGGAGAGAGGTTGTTTCAGGGACACTCCAAGTAGCCAGGAGCCCAGGGAGCATGGAGCAGGATGACTAGGATCAACCCTATCTGCTGAGCCTGAAGCATGGAGACAACTGGCTGGAGGTTACGGTGTACAATCTTCTGTAGAGGCCAGCAGACTAGAAGACCAGCTGGTCTCCAGAGAACAAAATCTTAAAGAAAGCAGGGTGTGTGGCTTAAACCTGTAATCTTAGTTACTTGGGAGGGGGAGATTGAGGGATGGCAGTATAAGGCCAGATTGGGTATACAAATTCAAGAAATTCAATCTCATTCAATGGCTGTGAACATGCCCTATCTTCCCTAGCAACCCAGGGAAGCACAGTAAGAGGACTGAAGCCCAGGCTGATCCAGGAATAATGATACCCTACCTTGAAAATAACCAAGACAAAAAGAATCTAGAGGGCTGGGAAGGTGGCTCAGTGGTAGAGTGCTTGCCTCACATGCATGAGGCCCTGGGTTTGATTCCTCAGCACCACATAAGCAGAAAAAAGCCGGAAGTGGTGCTGTGACTCAAGTGGTAGAATGCCAGCCTTGAGCTGAAGAGCTAAGGGACAGCACCCAGGCCCAGAGTTCAGTCCCCATGATCAAAAAAAAGGAAAAAAAAAAGAATCTAGATGTAAAGTGGTAGAGCCCCTGCCTATCATGAGACATTGAGTTCAATTCCTAGTTACCCCCTTCCAAAAAAAAAAAAAAAAAAAAAATCTCAAAGAACCAGATTGATGAAGATAGGAGAAATCTTACTGACAGCTGGTGCTGGTGGTTCACACCAGTAATCCTAGACACATAGACACCACTGCTTACTGACCCTCAGGGCTGGGGCAGCATGCTGGACATTGCCCACTCCTGCCTCCAGCCAGCCAGTCCTGGCTGCCCATCCTTCCTAACCAGCAGAGTCTTTGTGGTCCTGGGAGATTAGTCACCTGATACCTGGGACATGTCATAACTGAGGACAGTGATTGTTCACAGGTCGTGCAGGGAACAGAGTAAAGGGGTGCCAGGGGGACTTTCAGAGGAGGAACTATGCTAACAAGAAAGCTGCAACTGTGCCACTAGGATTCTCCCCAAATAAGCGTGAGAGAGAAAGCAAAGACAGCACCCTGCTTCTATGATGTTGAATCAGGGGCAATCAGGCCTAGTGCCTGGCCAACTCCTGTTGGCCCTGAGCCGGGGCTGAGGGGTGAGGAAGGAACAGGGCGCACACAATGACTCCATAGTCAGTCCATAGACAGACTGGAGTCTGTCCTCTGGAGTCTGCAGCTGACTGAGGCCTGGGTGGGCCTGTAGCTCCCTCTACAGGGAGACCACTAAGGGGTCTTAGAAATTGTCCTGCAAATCTTTCAGAATTGCTGGGTTCCAGCCCAGCTCTCCTGTCAGAAGGGGTCATGGCCTTCTTGTTGGGGACTCTCACCTTTCTAGCTCTGCTACATTGATTCCATGGGACCCCAGTTTCAGCAGAAAGCAGGGTAAGGCCTCCATGCCACTTACTGGAACCCTTGTTCCATTTTTTCCCACAGTCCTGGGGCTTGAACTCAGGGCCTGGGTGCTGTCCCGGAGCTCTTTTGCTTAAGGCTAGTGCTCTACCACGTTGAGCCACAGCTTCACTTCCAGTTTTCTGGTGGTTAATTGGAGATAAAATCTCATGGACTTTCCTGTTCAGGCTGGCTTTGAACCATGATCCTCAGATCTCAGTCTCCCGAGTAGCTAGGATTGCAAGTGAGCCTTGTTCTACCCAAATGAATGGCAGTACTACTTCCCAGAGCTAGTGACAATATCTGGGAATCCTGGGCCAACCCTGGGTTAATTGTGTGGCTACCGTGCTGGCCAAGGATAAACACCATCATCCACTCAGACAAGCAATACACTCTGAGGTCTGGGTGGGCCTGAGTTCCTCTCATGTTAATCCATGGGCCTCTACTGCCAGGAAGAGATTAGGGCACACTTGGCCTTCATTACTTGCAGGTTAAGGCAGCTTACGGAAGGGAAGAGCAGTTCACTATGGGAGCCAGCAGTTTGTGCCCCAGGAAAACTCTATATGGCCCAGATACCTGAAGGGATGTGCCATCCCCAGCAGCAGTAACCAGGGATCATGGTAAATCCAATCTGTCTCCCCTGGGCAGTTCAGTCCATATGACCAACGATGTCTTCCCCTAAGCCTTAAGGCCAGACATGCTATGAGATGGGACTCAGTTCCAGTCTCCTATGCTCATTCAGAACGATGACCCTGGATGAACTCATGATGCTCCTGCAAAGGGCTTGGGCCATTCTACAAGCTCTGAGGCTAACAATCACTAATGTGAGCTCTTCGGGCCAGAGCTGGCAGTGCTAGTCCCTTGCCACTGTTTCTTTCCAGCCCATACTAGCTCTGGAGGCTTCTTTCCCTCACACTTCAGCAAAAAGCCTCCTCATAGCTGGGGCTCTGGTGGCTCACACCTGTAATCCTAACTACTCAGGAGGCTGAGATCTGGGGATTGTGGTTCAAAGGCAGCATAGGCAGGAAAGTCTGTGAGACTTATCTCTAATTAACTATCCTCAAACCAGAAGTGCAGTTGTGGCTCAAATTGGTAGAGCATTATCCTTAAGCAAAAAAGCTTTGGGATAGCACCCAGGACCTGAGTTCAAGTCCCAGCACTGAAAAAAGAAAAGAAAGGCGGAAAGGAAGGAAGAGAGGAAGAAAGGAAGGAAGGAAGGAAAAGAAGAAGCCTGTGAAGAATTGTCTACAGGCTCCCACATGATTTGAGGCAGCCTCGGTGCATGGCTGGACAGGCAAGAAAGCATTCTGAGAAGATACTGGCCAGGCACTGGTGGCTCATGCCTATAATCTTAGCTACTAAGAAGGCTAGATTTGAGGACCACAGTTCACAGCCAGCCTGGGCAGGAAAGTCTAATCTCCAATTAATCAGCAAAAAGTCAAAAGTGGAGCTGTGGCTCAAGTGGTGAAATGCTAAGCTTTGAATGGAAAAAGGTAAGGGACAGTGCCCTTGCCCTAAATTCAAACCCCAGTACTTGTACAAAAGCCAAGGAAGGGAGGAAAGGAGGGAGGGAAGGAGTGAGGGGAAGAAGGGAGGGAGGGAAAGAGGTAGGGAAGGAAGGAAGGAAAAAAGGAAGAAAAGAGGGAGGAAAGAAGAAATGGAAAGAGGGAGGAGAAAGGAAGTAAAGAAGGAAGGAGAGAAGGAAAGGAAGGAAGGAGAGAAGGAA